GCGTGGGGGGTGCAGCCGTAGGTTCTCGGCAGCTGGAGAGGGCCCTGGGAAGGCTGGTGCGCCTGTGCTGCTGCCCCATGATGGGACTTGAAAGCCAGCTCAGGAGCGTCTGTGCGAAGACAGCTTCTAGCACTGCCACGGTCCTGCCCACCACTGCTCAGGCGCAGGTAGGCAGAGAATGGTGGGGTCTGGCTAAAAACCTGCCTGGGGCCCCCAGGGTTCAGGGGGCTGAAGTCCTGCACTGAGCCCTGCATCACCCTCCTCTCCCAGGACAGGACGGGCAGTCTCCAGGGGAGATTCACTTCTATTTCACTACAGGCATCCCCAGTGCTGCCCCACGCGCCCTCCCAGGCAGTGGGCACTGCCTGCCTTGTCCCACACTCCCAGCACACTGCTGAGAGCACAAACCACCCATTAAACACGCAGCAAGGGCCAGACGCAGGCTACCGCTCCCCTGCCTGCCACACAGCTTGGTTCAGCACCCCCCTCTGCAGACACCGGTGACACCAAACCAGCAGCAAATCAGTTCGCACCTCTCTCGCCCCGCTTGCACCGGGTCTGCCACACACCCTTCCTGTCCACCGAGGCACAGACCAGCCAGCAGCAGAGAGCAACCCACCCCTACAGCACACAAAACTTCCAGGAACATGGAGATCTCTGAAGAAAATCCTAGACGGCCGAGCCAAACATCCACACGAGGTGGTGCTCGGACAGGCAAAACCCTTGTTTTACTACAGAGCACTGAGGCTGTGCACTAAACTGGTAGAGCAAGAGCTGCACTGGTTTCCACTGGGAGCCCAGACGACGACAGTTCAGACACCCAAGTCCCTGCAGGAGATCTTCCTGTACCCCGCAGACCATGAACGTCCACCCAAACCTCTTCTCATGGAAGGTCTCTCTGACACCAGGGAAGAGGGTTCCCATCAGACACCTCGTTTCCACGCAGAGCGAAGGTCCCTTTTTGGGAAGGGCTTTTCCCCTTCTGCTTTTTGTCCCCTCCTTGCTCCGAGACCTGCCTGAAGTGCAGCACAAGACAGGGATGCCCCACTCGGGGCTGGCTCTGTGTTCACTGCTCCCGGAGGTGAGGAGGGTTAGAGGCCCGTGAGATCAACGATGGCTTTAATAAAGATGGCATCATCACGCACGTAGGAGTTCTTGGCTTCCATCACGGAGACGGGGCAGAACAGCGGGCAGCCGCTGGCAATGTTCATTTCTGTGATGGGTCGCTGGAAAGAGGAGGATGTCACATCGGGTCGGAAGGCATCGATGATGTGCTCCCGGTTGTTCTGATCCAGGAGCATGAGGGTTACCTGTGGAGAAACATGAAAATATACAAGAGCAGCTGAATAAAAAGCACATGGAAACCCAGCCCGGTGACCTGCTCACTTGAAGCCCATGAAATGTGCAAGTACCAATGCAACCATAGCCACATTATGCATCTACAAATGTGAGAAACGCTTGTAACTAGGGTCAGTGGAGAACGTCATCTTGGTGACATTCTGCAGAAACCTTCCCACATCCTGCCCTGTCACTGGAAACTTGTGTGTGGCAGCACAGGGCTGTCAGACTGACTCTGAAAACCTACAACTGGCTGGCATGGCATTCACTCCCAACACCAATACCCCACGCAGGTATTTAATTAAATCGCAAGGTTGCTGTCCCCTTGTGAAAGGCGGCGGCCCCTCTCTCTGCATCAGTACTTCGCCCGCTCAGCCCTGAAGTGTTTCGCAAACCTGCAACGTCTAGGAACTGCAATCCGAGCTTCTGACGTCGAGTGAGCATCAGCTGCACCCTGAGTACAGAAGCCACGACGACCTTCCCTCGCCCCAAATTCATGCTCCGCTCGCTTTCCAAACATGCTGCTGCTCTCCTGCCACAGCCTCTGCCGTTTCGTGCCCCTGCCCTGTGGCACGCTCGGTGCTTTCAGCATGACTGGGGAATCCCCAGGGCGGCCGACATATCAAAGTCCTTCCTTCTTCTGCTTGCTAAGTAGGCCAGACCGACAGCGTCTAGAAGCTGGGTGCAAAACTAGAGAGGCATGTCGCTGGGCATAGCGGCTTTGTCCCAAACCTACCTTCTGGTTGAAGGGCCACCGCAGAAGCGCATCGTTGGGTCCTTTCATCACCACAAAGAACAGGGACAGATGGGTCCCACGCCCGGTGCCATCCCCATTCAGGTAAACGCGCAGACACATCTTGTAGCCATACTTGCTCGTGTAGAAAGCTATCGAAGAGTTGCAAAACAGACACAGTGAGTGTCAAACTCAGCAAACCCTGGCACCAACAGGTTCCTTTGAACCCTGAGGACTCTGAAGTTTGGATCCTGGAAGAAACCAGGTCTGGGTCTTAAAATACATGTACCACAGAGGGGGTCCAGAAAGCCACCAGATACAAACAACAGTCAGATGCCATCTTAGTTGGGTCTGGAGACAGCCCAAGGTCAGGCAGTCACAAGCCCCTGGTCTAGCCGAGACGCAGAGCGCTGCGGCACAGAGCAGGGCACTGGCCAGCCCCTCGGGCTCTCCCCACCCGCCACCACAGGCACAAGCGCCCCAGGCAGAGACCAAAGCTGGAGCTCTGCCTGGGAGCTGGGCGCTTCCCACCAGTTGTGCTGTGCGTGACTGCTAAAGGAGCTGCAGTTCATGGCAATAATGCCGACGAGCAGGAACAAAACCACCCCCACAAAAAACCTGACTGGGGGTAGATGATCCTCAGTACTCACTGCACCCTCATCGTAAGCTGGCTGCTCTGATGGGGGCAGAGGCTCAAGCAAGTGAGCTTCGGTCTCCCGTTAGGATTCCAGCCGCTCTGCGTGGCATGGGCATGGCTGGGTACGGGCTCTGGGATCTCAGGCTCTCTCCTTATCTCAGTTCTGGGAATGCCCATGTTGTGACACCAGACCCGTGCAGGGCCACAGAAATACGTCTTGGAAGTGGACCTGCTGCTAACCGCCCTCTCACAGCGGCACAGAGCTATGTGCCTCAGGTCCAGCGAGGCTCAGCAACCACAGGGCAAGGGGCAGCAGATCAGAGATGGTATTTTACTGCGGGACTCGGTGCACTTTTATGAACAGGCAGACTAGCACTAGCAGAGATACTGTGCACTGCCACAGGGCGAGGAGCAAGAGATCAGGGCCTCGTCACCTGCTTCCCTCCTGGCACTCCCCAGCTCGTTTCCTCTAGTCCTTCCTCTCCACCTGCTTCACTCAAAGGCTTTCAGGGCAGATGCCACCCTCTGCTAGTCCAAGCAGCACATCCTCACTGCCCATCTGGGGCTTTTCAGCACTCCCTGTGAATGTGAAACCAGGCGGGGAACTGGAGGAAGGATGGCCCAAGAGCAGTGGGAGTACCCAGGAAAAGGCACCAGGTAGCCAGAGGGCATCAGAAGCAACGCAAGAGCCCAGCAAGCCGCCCGCCGGCACCTGATGGCCAGCAGCGGGTGGCTTTCCAGCAGGAGCTTCGTTTCGGACTGTCCTGGTTCACGCCCCCGATGAACCTTTCTTGTGCCGATTTGCCTTTTTGAACTCTTATGATTTTGCCCTTTGCAAAATCCTGTGGCAGTCGTCGTGTCCTCACAACACGAGTCAGTGGTAAGTCTACTTCCTTCTCTTTGTTTTAACACTGATTTCATTTGGTATTTCCTCACTTTTACATTTAAATATAAAACAAACAATTCTACTCATTTCCATTTTTCATCCCATTCGCAACCTAGACCTCTCTCCTCCCAGCTGTCTCCTTCCCAGATTGAACAGCACTAGTCTATTTGCTTCACTTTCTAAGATACAAAAACCCAGGTCTACAAGAAACATTTGTTTCTCAGCCTAATTTTCTCAGCTAAAGCAGCACCAGGAATGAGGATTTCTCAACACAATTGACTACTGCAGGAAAAAAGGCCTTGTACTTTGCACTTGCAAGATAAAAAAAATAAAAGTCCTGCCTTTTCCAGAAGCAATCCCAGCATGAGGCAGAGGCAACCCTCACCTTCCAATCCCTCCAGCCACGTACAAGATTTTCATTAGCAGATTGCAGACACCAACCAGCAACACAAAACACAGTCTGGTGGCCTGCACAGTAGTTTCTCCTTTGATGAAACAGTTTATAAAAGCCCCGAGCCCTGCCACTGCTGCCAGGTGCAAGGTGGAGACCGGCCAGCACACATGGAGGAGGAGGCACCAACAACCACGAGCTGCAGTTCTGGAGGAACTGTGCATTCAGAGCACGGCCAAACAAATGTCTGGACAGACGAAGCCTCTTGCATTTGGAGAGGTTTCACCCCTTTCCCTCCCTTGGGCTGACTGATACTTATATCCCTCCACCAGCTGACTTGATTCTCCAACCTAGAAAAACAAATCCCACGCTCCTGCAAGGACCCAAGCTGGCATCAGCTCATGGAGGGGCCTGAGGAGCCCCCGGGCTGGGGCACAGCGAGCCAGGATGCCCGTGGCCAGAGGACAGGAGTCAGCTCCGTCCAGCATCTCCCTCCAAACCACAGCCTCTGGAGACATTCAGGTCAAGCAGCTCTCAAGCACGGTGCAGGAGATGGGCAGGATGGAAGAATTAAGGTCCTCTCTCCAAGTCAAACAAAACAGATTTGAAGCAGATTTGTTCGCTTTGGGAAAAGGAAGGAAGTGCTGCCCTTCCCAAAGGGGATGAAGAGCAGGGGTTTTCCACAGCTGCTGCTGACTTTTAAAAGGAAATGCTAATCGCATGCGCACAGTTTCACTAGCAGTTTGGTTCTCCTCAAGAAGGGGAATCCTTTTTTCTTTTCAGTTTTTCAAGAGAAAAAGGACTCTGAACAGCCTTCACCCAGAAAACAGATTTAAAAGTAGTTTTTAAAATTCAATTGTTTTTACCTTGTGGCCCAGCCACAGTCTGCTTTTTCACCGCACCAGGAAGCAGGCATAAGGTATGTGCTCTACGTTTGCATGCAGCTCTGGGCATCTTGAAAAAGCTCACCAGCACGCTCAGATCTAACCGATTCCTGCTCAGGCAAACACAAACTCGTCTCCTCAACCATTACGTTGTGAGGTGAGCTCCCCACCGAGCAATGAAATTGTGTGAAGAGATGGTTTCATCTTACAGCTGCAAGCCTGGGAAGTGCTTTCATAAGCAAACAAGCCAGATCACAACCTACTGCTCACTGTCCGAGATTCTCTTTTTTAAAAACAGGAGGAACAGTGCTGGGCTGGGGCAGTTCTGCGCGGAGAGCCCCTTCCTCTAACAGATATTCAAGCACTTCCCTAGGTATGGTTTGGGCTTTATTTAGACATTGCCTCTTGCACCGTGATGCTTTAGGCACTGAAATATATTTCTGGGGCTCTAATATATATTTTATTGCTGGTTTTATGGTCTCTGAGTATTTTAATTCTAACTAAAGGGTTATGCAGGGATATGCCAGAGCTAAGAGGGTTGCATTTTCTATTATGAGAAATTAAAAAGGTCTTCTGCAATCAAAAAAGCACCTTTTTCAGCAGAGCAGTTTCATTTAGGCCAACGCTAAATAAAAAAAAAGTTCCAGGCTTCACAGGGAAAGGGGGACAGAACAGAAATACATCTGAATGGCCAGCATCTCCCCTGCAAAGGACACTGCTATAAATCCCACACCCAGCTGAGACGCAAAAGGCTTGTGCAGTTTTGCAAATTTGTGGGCAATAACCTGGAGAGAAGATCGCAGGAGCGCGGCCTGTTATCGCCTCCTGACGCTTCCTGGCAAATTCTGTTATCTTCCAGATGAAAACACCATCGTAGGTGGAAGCTTCCATGTTGCGCATCTTTTCCTCCATCTCAGCCATGGCCAGATCTTTGAGCCCAATGCTCCTTTCCAGCTGCCGGACCTGCTCAGTGGGATACACGGTGCAGCCTGGTTAGAAACACGTACTGCTGTGAGACCCAAGAAAGCCAGCAGACACCAGCATCCCCTTCGGGACGACTCTTTAGTGTGAGACGTTCTTCAGAACGGACAGGGGTCACAGGAGGGAGAAATTTAGCATGGTGAGTCAATTCACTGAAGTTTCCTTTTGAACCCTGTCATTATACATCGATACAACTCAGTGCTTGAGCTGGAAACTTTCCCACAGCGAATGGAAAAATCCTCCCAATAAGCAGCTCCGTTACGTTAGCAGCACAAGGGAGGACAGGGGCGGGGGGAAACCTCAGCATTGTGACAAAACTAGATTGAGAAAGAGAAGAACCTACACCCAGCCAACAAGGTCTCCCCAGGGTTAATCACTGCTAGCTAACACAGGGTCACGCCAGTTTTGGCAACTCCCTTGCTGAGAGAGCACAGGTACGCTGCAAACTGCTGAACTCCCAGCTGCCAAGACACACTGGCAGCGCTCAGCAGGGACTGTGCTGGAGCATACTGGCCGGGGCAGCTTCTTCACACCTCCAGACCGTGCTTGGCAGAACGCTGTAGCACAGCATCAATGATTACACTCCTTTTGAAAGGTCTGGAAGGTGAGCAGCTCCATGGATTCAGAGATCCAGTGAAATGCTGGGTGCTCCATCTCTCGTTGGAAAACTTCACCTAGGAACAACATCTCGGTGTCTGCACAACTTGATTACTAACAGAGATCTGAACGCTTTATGCATGTCAGTTTAATTCCCATCTTTTCCAGGAAGTTTTTGAGGGTTGGGCACAGGCACAAACGATATTTTAGTTCTGCCTTAAGATTTGTAGAGATTCAGGCGGTGAAGCTTTGCTAGCTAATAACATGGAAAGGAAACTGAAAAAAGTCTCTGCTGAGAGTGCTGGAAAGCCCAAGCCAATGGTTACACACCTTGTTACTCAGTGTTTCGATTTTCTCCTGGTCTAGTCGATGTTGCCGACTGTAGGCTTCGGCTGTTAGAGATACTCTTTCCACCTCCCGATTGAGCACGCAGACAATGTTCTCAAAGGTCACCGTTTTCCTCTCAAGGGCCTCACATCTTCCCAAGAGCTCCAGGGACCTGGAGAGCTCCGACTCCGAGCACAGAGAGTTTGCTGCCAGTAGCGGGGAGTTGTTTTGGGATGAGGAAAGGGCAGGAAGGGGCTTTAGGTCTCCAGACCCAGCCTTGAGGCTGAGCACAAAACTCAGTAGCATGTAGAGATGCTCTGGCAAACACTTGCTTTCATGTTCTAGTAGCTTTTCATTTTCCACCTACATGAAGAGAAATACATCCCCCATTCAGCAAGCTCAATCTACGCTGTCACCATCCACAGAAAAAAAATTCCTCCTCTTGAGGTCACAACATTAGCTTTAAATTATAAATGGGAAAAACCAAAGAAAGATAGTTAAAAAACCTGTTTTGGGGGTGGCGGTGGGTTTTTTTTGTTTTGTTTTAGAAATGCTGCAATCGCATACAATGATGGATGCTTAACGTTTCCCCAGCTGTACACACTGTTCTACTCTGTCCTCCTCCATTACTTCCCCAAAAGGGCTCTGTCAGACCTACTTAACAGCACCAAAGGACAAAGCCTCACATAATCACCCCGAGGAGGGATTTATATGAACACCACCAGTGGGAGCTGGGAAGACTAGGTCACATGGAAAAATATGGCCTGGCCCAAGCACTAGCAGGAGAGCAAGACACCAGGTGCCCAGTTCTGTGCTTACAGCTGAAAGCAGCATAACCATCAGAGTCTCAAAGCTCTTGCAGTGTTTCTCAAGAAGGAGGTTTCCTTCCACATTAAGTTCATTCTCTGGATACCCAAACTCTGGACAGCAGATGATGTTAAGGTCCATTTGCAAAGGGTTTGAAACACCATTTTGTTCAAATATCTGAATGCAAACATCTGTAACAGTTCGGGCAACAGCAGTTTGCAGGTTAACTCTAACACTGGAACTGAAAACAAGTCCCAAGATAAACATCAACAGACGAGCCCTTACCACCTCAGCACATCCAACAACCTCAAATCTGCAAGGCACTTTAGATCTGCCACAAGTCTTCACATGGTCCCGAAACTAGAAAGGAAGGAAGGCAATGTTAGATCTTATGTGTCCCAGTAGTTCCCTTTCCATCTTCTTGACGTCTAGGAAATTGAAGATGACCTCAACAACGCCCAAGCCATCGCTAATCACTAGCTGCCAAAGTGCATAGTTAAACCTGGACACTGCCTACCATGAGGTATGACTTTCACTGTAATATAAATATAGCACTGACACCTGGGAAGGAAGTTTTATTTCTCTTTCTCTTCACGGCTAGAAGGTCTCACTTCTCACCTGCATATGCAAGAAAGAAAAAGCAAACAGCATAGGTACATGTTATGGATGCTGAGCAATAAACTTCACTGAGGAAGGGGAGACATGAGGAACAACCCTATGAAACAGATGGCCATTTAATTTTGTGCACTTCCTGTAACCGTGGTCGGGACGTGCCACAGCTTGGTATTTTTACTTCCAGCTAAATATTATAAATCTGAGAACAGAAAGCTTCCCGGTGGTCCTGCAATTACTGCAGGTCCACCTGTGCAAGGGAAGATGCTCTGCTGGGTCCAGCATCCCTTCGCTGGAGTGCTGAGGGATGCTGCACCTTGGCCACCTCTCGTCTGGCAGCTGCCATGAAGAACCGAGGCCAACAGTGGATATTTCTACAGAGAAGTGCCACTAACCCACCAGCCGCCAAGATGACTCGTTTGGGTGCCCACACAGTGCATGATTAATGCTAACAAGCACTGGCACATTATCATCTTGTTTTTGATATACCTCTCATCATCAGATATCAGTGGTCTGTTCAGAACAACCACCATATTCCACATTTAACACCTGCTACAACAGATGCCAATTAAAACTGATTTTAAACCACTTTTTTAAAAGCTTCTAGATCCATCTGGCTTGCTTAATGAGTCAGGTTACTCAGAGTTACAACGGCTGCAGCTAATCAACAAAAGTTTGGAGGGAGATAAAAAAGGGAGTTAATATTTAAACAAAGGATAGATCACCTATGGGAATCCTGTATGCCTAGTCTCTGCTGGGCTCCAGCTTCAGCCTGCAGACAAGCAGATCTGTATCCCAACACCCCAGCATGAAGTCCTTCATTACGCTGCCCATTTAGAAGAACTCTTTGCTCATCTTTTTGATGCTTCTGTCCCCCCTGCCCTGCTACAAGGGCCTTTTGCAACAGTGCTACTAAAAACATAGCAAGCAGGACGGTTTCAGATGAACGTGCTTCTTGAAGACGTTTCCCAAAAATTTGATGTTCAGACTTTTGAGCCTTGGCCTAGGAGCCAGCAGCATGGAGACCCTATAGACATGGATTCCATTACGTGGTTAATTAGAAATAAATTAATTTAGCTGGAGCTGGGCTCCCTTTCCACAATTGCAGCAGTGGTTGATATAGTTGCTTTACATAGGACGTAAGTACCCTTTAAACCCACGAGCGTGCTTTTCCCATGGAGGCTCTGCACCCAAACATGGCAAACACACCGTTCAGAGGGAGGTGGCATCGGCAGCACTAACACAAAACTACAAGTGCCGATGAGACACGTTCACTCGCTCCTGACCAGTATTTTGAGCCTTATGGAAAGGTCACATCTGTACTAATGGCTGCCACTTAATTGTTCTCCCCATTCCACTTTCTAATGGTCTTGGTTTTCCTTCCCACCCCAAGAGTGCCGGTGTCAGCCCATCAGGATGCTAAACACCACCGCGGCACACGGTTCACCGACAGTCGGATGGATACCTTCTCCCTTGGAATCTTATTCCCACAGCCTTCGCAAGTCAGCGGAAATTCAGGGCAGACTTCGTCATGAGCCTGTAAAGAATCAACAGGAGAATATTTGGTCCTCTAAATAAAAGCTCCAATGAGGTTATATGATGAGTACAATTGAACAGGGGTAGTTTTATACTTTATTACAGAAGAGCGCTGTATTCTACCAACCTATACTCAAATCTTGGTCTGCATGCTGACTCATTTGTGTCATCTCCAGGGTACCAGAATTTTGGTGCCTATGTAGCCCCAGCCTCAATTTAAAAGCTGCTATCATTTTAAAAAAAAAAAAAAAAAAAAAAAATCAAATTACTGCTTTGATGGACAACATCAGCAACAGAAAGCTCCATTTATGGCTCTGCCAGGAAAATACACGTTCAGGCAGGTTAAGTGAAGTAAGCCACTATCTCAGCAAGATCATTTGAATAATTTTTCCACCGTAATGGTTATCAGTCAGCTGAAGTATGAACCCATAGCCTACTCATCACATGCTGGGCTGAGCTGTCTGATAGTATCTTTGCATTCGAATCAGAAAACCATTTTTCAACCAGAAAGAAAAATATTTTAAAACTGTTTCATTCAATAGCCCCTGCACACAAGCCCCCACCCCTGCAGCAAGAGCACACACAGTCTGTTTGGCGGCCAGCGGAGCTGAACAAATGATCAGGGCAATGTGATACTCTGTCCTCAGCAGATACTAGGGCTAGCAATACCAGCTAAATTGGGAATACCAGAACGTGCCTCTGCTTTCTGTGTCATTTCAGTTGAAACAAGGTATTGTAAATGCCATGAATATGCAGTTCAAAATTCAGATTAAAAAATAAGTGTACTGAAGTATCCTGCCATGGTAGTAACAGGGGAAAAAAAAAAACCAGAAGCAGCATTTATAAAGTAGTCATCTGAAACCAGATGCTCTGAAAACTTGGTCACATTTATTCTTTATTAAAACAAGTTACTATCTTGGTGGGGGAGGGGGAAGAACATGCACAAACTTAAATACTGTTACCACATCAGAAACTGGAAAGTGAAACCCATTAGTGGCTCAGCTTTGGCTTCTTAGTTACTCTCTCCTTTTTATACTTTAAATGAGTAATCAGACTCAAAGCCTCACTGCGCCGTCCCTGGAAAAGTGACCGGCCAGCCTGCGTGGTTCGGCTGGGCAGTGCTGCCTGCACGGACCGCGCTGCCTGCACCGGCGGTGGAGGAGGCAGAGTGCCTTCCTTCATCCCACCCGCTCAGGGGGCTGAACCCTTTCTTCCACCCACCTACTGCTCTCATGTTCTAGAAACACCAGATAGCATCTTCCCCACGACCCACAAAATGCTGGCATAAGAACAGACAGTCTGGCTGAAGGAAGGAAACTTCACTGTAGAGACAACTATTTAAAAAGGGAGTATTTAAAACTTATGTTCTCCCGTGCCAATGCGCTAGGCGTGAAACTACCACCCCCTCTGCACTCCCCACCTCCCAGCATTTATCTTCCATCCCGACTCCACGCTACACCGTGATATAACACCCAACACACAGGCAGCCCTGCGAAGCGTGCCCAGCCCGCGGCACGAGAAGGGAAACCAGCCCCGCACAGCTAAGCTGAAAGTGCAACTGGTCCATATGTAAATTGTTTAAGACACCCAGAAGCATTAGCTTTAACCAGCACAGATCCAAACCTCTAGACAAACATTTTTGTATAAACAGTTCTGGGCTCTTCTGGAATCCCCTGTTCCTTCCACCTCTACGCAGGTGTCTTAAACAGAGACGGATGGTATCACTGCCGGAAGAAATCCACCCCACCCAGGAGCCGAAGAGCAGGGGTTGGCATTCAAGCCTGACCTGCCACACTCCACTCCCCCAGGAATGCGGCAATCCTCCTGTTTACACCTTTCCCAAACCCACATCCCTGCCTCTGCAGCAGGGACGTGCATCTCTGACACTCAGGCATTTGCTGTGAACGTTTTAGGCAGCTTTGGAAAGCCGTCACTGTGAACAGGGCTAAGTGACAACAGAGTCACTCTCCCAAAGTGAACCTGTCGTGGAAATCAAGTCAGATGGGGGTTGGAGAGAGGGGACAGCAATAGAAGAATTAAAGCGGAACTGGAAGACAACGGTCTGACTCAGACCTTCAGGGCTACTCTCTGGTTACCTCAGCGTTGGCGTCTCACCCACCAGCTGTAAACCGAGGCACAGACCGGCCTTCAGCATCCAACAGCAGGGGTAGGAAAATCAAACCAGGCAAAGTTAACAGCCTGCTGATTAATTCCCACTCAATTAAAATCAAAACCGCTGATTGATCCACACATCAATTTCGCTCCCTAAAAATAAACAGTGAGACAACCCAGCGGCAGCCTGTACATCGCACGCCGCCATCAGAACAGGCGATTCTCTGGGAGTCCACCTGAGAGACTAGAAAATCAGACACCACTGCCGCCTTCGGAAGGACTAGGGCAGCCTGCAAGCGCTCGCTCAGGGCACCCGTGCTCGTGGGTCACCACTGCGGCCGCCCAGTCCTCCAGTACTTATCCGTGCTCCTCTCCGGAGCAGCACCAACAGGCTGCAATGGAAGTATTGAGCCCTCCTCCCCATGCCTTTAGGCCTGCTGGAGAATGGAGCTGCCTGTGCGCACGGCGTAACTCTCCTACCTCGGTATCAGGAAAGTAGAAAAGCGATTTGCAGTTGAGGTTTCTCTCGGGGCAATCCTGCTCAGGGCTCCTTCCCATTCAGCGGGATAGAATCATAGAATCATTAAGGTTG